GCAAGTAGATCTCGGCTCACTCAATTGTCACCTGTTGCGAGAATTTCGGCCTCATAAAATTTGAACATGTGGCCGGGTCTCGTCGAATGAGCCGCTCTGACATAACCTCCAATCCTCAATGAAGTAATCTGCTTTGTTAAGCCTTTTAAGTGTTTCTGTTGAGAGCAACGGTATGGCATCCAGATCAACCTTTGCGCAAAAGTTTATTCGTAAGAAATTAAACGGAGCCCAGTTACGAGACTGTAGACGCAGACTTGAGCACGCTATCTTCCTGTCTATCTGAAGAGCAGAGTGTTGGCTGCGCTTTTTATGTGGAATGCGCCACAAAGCAATATATTTTATAAACGTGCACAAGGTTTCCAAGGCCGGAGGTGAGGTGAAGTGAGGAAATGCTGGTTCGTACCATTCCCGTCGACCCTATTCCACCGGAGAACACTGTGGACACAAATGGTGCGGGCGACGCGTTTGCTGCCGGCTTCATTTCGACGTTCATCACTTGCGGTTCTGTTGACAGCGCAATCGAGGCTAGAAAGAAGGCAGCTGCCTACATTCTTGGCTAATCCGGTTTTTCCCTTGGTCCTCGGACAGAGTATTAACTAACCCTCCTCACCCCTTCCCCTACCTGTCACCTCCAACGTGGCGAAAGGCATGTGCGCGTCATCTTACTGAGGCCGTGCCCTCCTGTCTTTCACCTCCCTCTGGTTAGTGCTTTGCTTTCCATCCCCCCGCCTCCATTGTTCCTGTGCCTCTGTTTTCTTTGTTACGCCCTGTTATGGCATTTGAGCAAATCCCAAAGCAAGCTTTGAAAGTGAGCCGCCTTTGTCTTCTGCTCTCAATTTGCATGCAATTTTATTATATATACACTGGTTGGACTATTGTGCCCAGTATAAACCGCTATTGACCCCCTTTCTTTGGCTATTCGAACTACAACAATGGGGTCATTATCATACGATGCTAGCACCATTATGAAAGAAGTCCAAGCTGGCCTAAAGTTTGCATCTCGTTCAAGGACGATTTGTTAGGATTTTGGCAACTGCAGTGTTTGTTCATTAGGCATCAGTGTTTGTGATACGCCGATGTTATGTGGTTTGTACGCGTAATTTTACTCACAGTGAACGGAGGACGTTTTTACTGAAGAGTTAGAAATTCTATTTTCAAAAAAAGCGTATACCTCTAGAAAAAAACCCACCACCACCAACGTAGCAGCAAACCGCCCCCTTCCTCCCTCCTTGCTTACTCGTCCTCCCTTCCCATTGTTTCTGTGCTTCGGTTTTTCTTCTTATTGAATAGGAACAACTTTGCGGGCAAGAACTTAACCAAGCCGCCTATTTCCTGGTGTACTCCTGGCACGGCCGACTTCAGCGATCAGGCGCGTTATCTTTACAGCGGACTTTAGAAAACGAAAGTCATATTGGGTGGCACGCAGAAATTCAGGTTGCTCTTAGGTCTAGTGTTCAAGAAATGGCCGGTTATCTGCTTAGGGATGAAAAATTGGATTGTCTCTTCGTCTGGCTA